TATCGCCACAGCTGGAGATATTTTCTCCATCTTTTTCTCAATTCGAAATGCGAACCTGCCGTTGAATTTGCAGAAGAGGTTAAATCGATAAACACCAGCCAAAATTAATAATTTTCCTAAAATTGGACACTTTATTTTAAAATTTAACAAGATAATTTTCACGCTGTAGCATAACATTTTGTAATATAATGTCCATCAGCATCTACAAAATTAAAAATAAAATAAAAAAAACTGGAGAGAACAAACTAAATTAATAATAATCTGTACTAATCTGAAATTAAAAATACAAAAATTTCAGTGATAGATTCAAATGCAGAACGATTCTTGTCGAATTTAGTATTAAAATATAAATTTTATACAAGAAGAACTTTTTATTGTAATTAACTATAATTTTAAGGAATTTTATTTCAATCACAATGCATATATTATACTGAATATAACTAAAAAAACTTGCATTTTTTAAATAAATAACATCTAATCATAATTGCATATAACTTTCTTTATAATACAGTAAATTGCATAAAAATAATTAATTAATAATAAAATATAATTAATACATTACATAGACACTAAAAAATCAGAGGATTTTAGCCTCAAGAAGATTATAAGCCTAAAAAGTGGCTTGGGAAAAATAAATAAATAAAAAATAAAAATAGAAGGTTTTTAGTATTTAGGACAGTAAAAAATAAATAAATAAATAAAAAATAAAATAAGAAAAATGAGTGAAAACAGAAAATAATACAAAAAGGAAATTTAATGTTAATACAGTGTACTACAGAGTAGGCAAATCAAAGTGAGAAAGATATTAAATTAAGTGAACTAAAAATGAATGTCAATATAGCAGATATAAGTTAAAAGGAAGAGAGAGAGGTAAATTAATAAATTATGAAACAAAAAAGTGGTAAATTAAGACTTCCTTTTACTAGCAAAAATAAATATATTATGCACGTTGCACAATGTAGTCGCACTTATTTTAAATAATTTTAGAAGGTCAAATTTAAATAATGTTCATTATTTTTAAAAAGAAACTTAAAACTATTAAGGTTTTGAAATTTAACTGCTATATAATGACTATTTTCTTAATACTTAACAAATTCTTAATATTAAAATAAATGCCAGAAACATGATATAACAAAGAAAATACATGATTGAAAGTAAACATATTTGTTATATTTGGATGCAAGAAAAAGGGATAAAATAAGGACTTTCATGTAAAAAAAAAAAATCATATTTTTATTCAGTTCTTACACAGTGTATTACATCGACATAGTATTAATTTAATACTTATTATTACTATTTTGTACATGTCTGCATAAGCAGACGCATACAAAGAATATATAAACAAATGCACATAAAGCAAAGTCTGATGGCGTATAAGAAATGTCGCCAAAGCAGAATACTAGACTAATTAAAATTATATCATATCACTAAAATTTTAACATTTTTTTCAGAACACAGTTATTAAAAACATACATATATATTAAGATATTTTTATTTAAATGTTATTTCAAGTATGCATATATTCTATAAAATTAGAAAATCTATTTTTATTAGAAAACGGAAAGTAGAGTGGATAAAAAAACCTCTACATTTTATAAAAAAATAGGTTTTAAAACATTAGAAAAAGCTCATCTGTGGTTCTCTCATCCATAAATCATATGCCAATTGTCATCTATGTATTGAAAATGTTTGCATTTATCATGTGGAAAGTCAGGCATCAAAGTCAAAAGTTGGTATTCTTTCGAAAGCCATGACCAATAAGCACGATCAAAGTGCTGGAAGTCTGCAGATTACTTGGACTTGTGTATCACAATTAAAACTGCTTTTGTAAGTAAAACAAGATTTGCCCTAAGTTCCACAAATTGCTATAGAAGTATTGGCATCTATCTATTGAAAATGATGGCATTTTTTTTAGTCAAAACTTTCAATATTTACATATGTATTAAATAAAAATAATGCTGAGGTTTAATTTTATGGTAGTCTTGTGAATACACATTTAAAAAAAATTATCAAAATTTATTATTATTCTGAATTATATTCTGAGAATCTCTTATATTATCATTTAGAGTTATTATGATATTTGATACTGGATTTGTGGTTTATAGGATAATGTGTTACAGTATTTTTTGTATGTATCCTTTCCTGAAAAATGCCTGCATTAAAATTTTTTTTAATTGAGCATATTCTTTTCACAGTACCTTGTATTTTATTTCATTAGTAGAGAGAAATATATAAGGGACATACACACAGCTCTTTGAATACAATTTGAAGTATTTTTCTTTTATTGAGCTTATAAAACCTTAGATTAATAATTGTGGTGCTGCTGTGGATTTTTGGATCTTAAAGCATCATAATGTACTGCTGAATTTTCTTGAAAATAAAACCAGGTCTTACATTAATTATTTGTTTGAAATGACATAATATGGTTTATTTTCAGAGGATGTCTTATTTTTCATGATGAATAGTTTACATATGTTCATTTACGACAATCTCTTAATATATTTATTGTCAAGAATGTTCATTTTCTCATATATTCAGGTAAAAATTGCTTTTGTTTGAGTACAGTGATACCATTATCATTTGAAACATTGCCTTAAAGCTTTAAATCCCAAGTTCCAGCCTCAAATTCATGCGACTGCATTTCGTATAAAACCATTGCCCCTGGTCTCATAGATTTCTTTTGATTGTATTTCAGCGAGACAGTTTTATGTCAGTTTATTTCATAAAATTTGATGAGTCATTAATTTAATTCAATGAGTCATTTTATTTCAGTTTTATATCATTGGTTTCCATATGCTGATGGTTTTGGAATGGTTTGCGATTCTAATATGAGTTTGGAGACAGGCAGTCATTCCTATGGAAATCATTATTTGATCAATTGATTGTTTCTGCAGGGGTAATCGTCATACCTTTAGTGTATTGAATGCTAGCATAATAGAAGACCTCTTTGGTACTTTGCAAAATAAGTGGTAGCATGAAATCAATCACCTTGTATATGCATCAAGAATTTTCATTTTTAAGAACTATAAATGATTGAAATGGGTTGAGCTTTATTTTTTCTCTGTACTGATGTTTAGAGGTGCGGCTTTTTTTCTATCTAGTTCAATTGTCAAAATTCAGGCATTTTTGTAACCAGTGGAGGGAATATAGATTGGTGAGCATCTTTTTGATATGTTGCCATCTGTTGTCGTAGACTCATAAGTGTTGCTGTTTCATTCATAGCAATCATGTTGGAGAGTTGATATTTAGGAAAATGCCATCAATAAAAGACTCAAGTAATGCAAGTTCATGTTTCATGACTTCAGTATTTTCAGGCTTGAATATCTTCTTAGAGATGGTTTGTATCACAGAAAGAAGGCATTCATCCAGCATTATAATGCTGTGAATTCTGTAAATATGTCTAACTGTGGTGTCATTTGCCTTTTGAACAACCAAAATTGTTGCTGTTTTGTTAGCAATTCATTCACAGATTATGTGTTTCAGCTCAGGAAATAATGGTTTCCAGCTCAGGAAATAATGGTTGCTGACTTGATCTGCACTTGTGCTACTTAGCATTTTTTTTTTTTTTTTTTTTTTTTTTTTTTTTTTTGCCTCCTGTGAGCTGAGATATGTCACCATTTTCAGACCATTAAGAGATACAACTTCTCTTTGCCAAAAGCTTGGGATTCTTGCTCTGGGATTGCCTTACAGTTTTCTTGTTTTCTGCATAATAGCTCTTTTTGTACTTGTCTTTTGTCTTTTTGTCCTTTATAGATATAAAGGAGATCAAAGTAATCCCTTTATATCTATTATTAAATCAAGTGTTAATTTAAAACTTACGAGACAGGAGTGGCAACAGACACTGTTAGGAATGATGCATTACACAAAATTGAAGAAAAACTGCAGACAAAAAAATGTGGGACATTTTACCTATTTTACACAAGCATGTTAATTTGATCCATTACAGCATGCAACATATTGAATTGTGAAGATACTGATTATTCATATTACATTCATTTGTTACCCAAATATGTACATATGTTATGTCTGCACTCTGCTTGGTCATTTGACAATAAATATGCTCACTTTCTTAATAGGCATTATTTCTGGAGTAATGTGTCTGCTAAATGCATCCTAAAAACATGCTAGGGCTTATTTTCAAGTGAATGCAGTTGCTGCCATATATATATATATATATATAACATGTTTACGCATGCACGTTTAATGTATAACAGACAGTATAAGCTAGGCTAAAATTACCTAATTATCTATTTCAGTTAATGTTGCAGATTGCATTGTTCCTTAATCTTCTAATTGGATCCGGCTTATTATTTTTTGCAGACTGTTACAGCAATTTTATAAAAAGTAAGCTTGAACTTTCGGTTAAGTCAAAAAGAGTTTCTGATTCTGGAGCTGCCAAAGGATCTACAAAGCGAAAGCATGTTTTGATGTCCATCAAACAAAAAGTGCAATTGCTGCAAAAAATGGATAAAGGCATGAAGAAAGTGACAGAGAGGTTAGTGAAAACGAAAAAATTTCGATTGACAAGTTAGTCGGTATTCTCGGCACAGCAATTACAGAACTTGAACAGCAGAACTTTGTAACTGAACAAGAAATTATGTCTGTTTATAGAATTAAAGAGAAAGTATTAGCACATAAAACAAAGCAACTTAATTGAAAGAAATGCTTAATAATAAAGTAAACAAATAAACATTAAGCTTTTTTTTTTTTTTTTTTTTTTTTTTTGTAAATTTTGATACCCTTTAGATCATAATTGCTCTTTATTTCATAAATTACAGTTTCATATTTTTAATTTTATAATTTCTTCATGCCATCTTACCAGATTTAAATTGATGATCTCTAATCTGGAATCGCCGAAGTTCCGACGAGTCCGGATTAAAGACTTTGTACTGTACATATTTGGCTGGCATACTTTTATTTCTATTGTTGTTCTACTTTTTATTTCTATTTCTGGTAGTTTACTTCTAAATAGAAATACTTTGTGTTTTCTTTAACTACAGGGGAAAAATTCACTCATGTTAGCGCTCATATTGATGATGGTGTTGTGACTGCAGCTATTCGAACAGCTGAAGATACATATTTGATTGAACCGTCCTGGAGGCATATACCTGGGGAAGATAACTCTAGTATGATAGTTTACAAAGAATCAGATGTAAAATACAGTTGGGAAAGTATGCAGAAGGAAAAGCAACGGTATGTTTTCAGAGTAAATTAAGATGCGATGTCGTATTATTTTCTTACATAAAAATTAATTGGATATTATTTTTAGAACAAAGTTCTGCACTTATGTAAAAGAGGAGGCTAATGTTAGTGTGAACACAGATGAAGAAACTGGAAGTAATAGTCATGAAAAGGTGATTAATAAAAGGCAGGCAATTGATCCTTATAACTGGGAGCCAGTTCAAACACGATGTTCTCTTCTTCTTGTGGCTGACTTTAGGTTTTATGAAAATATGGGTGGTAGCAACTTAAAAGGAACAATAAATTTTTTAGTAAGTACCTTTCACCTGTGGAATTTTCTCTTTCTGTCTGTTCTGCCTTTCTTTTATCATTCTTTTCTAAAGCAACAGCTGAATCTTTTCCCTTTTTTCTTTAGATTTATAACTTGCTTAAATTAAGATTTTGTGAATGCACTCTCAAGTAAAGAAGCCTAACTTAATTATTTTTGTAATTAAAGTTTCATGCTAATGAATTAGCTTTTTATTTAATCTTTTCCAGCCAATTGTACATGTAACTGTTGGAAAAGAAATTGCTACACTAAATGATGCTGAAATTTCGAAACAAACTAATAATAATGTTAATAATATTATTATAGAATTCTGTTTATATTAAATAAGGGGTATAGAACCACTTCAGATAACACATGATGATCATTTTCAGATGTTAAATGATAGAAATAAATAGTTGTATAAAATATTTTTTTTGGCAGTTCATTTATATATTTATTCAGTTAAATCAAATTTTCCTCTGAATTTTTCCTCTTGCAATACTAGGAGCTATGTCATACCACCATTTGATGAGCAGTACATCAATATAGACTTACTGCTTTATTCAAAAAACTATAAAGCAGCTTGAAACAAAGATTCCCCCCTTTTTTATGTACCTGTTGTATAGTATTATAATAAGGAACCAGCTGACATGTGAAATTCCTCAACTGCTTAAAAGGGTGTTTGCCGTAATCACTGTTACTGGGAGGGGGGGTGTATAGTGTCTCTTCAGTCAATTCGATTTACTGTGTCATCACTAAGTTTCTGATTAAACTGAGTTAAAAAAGAGTGGCAACGTTATCCTTTGAAACTAAAAAAACAATGGTAAAGTTTTCTTTTGTTTGCAAGATTCAGTGTGAATAAACATAAATAAATGCAAATAAAATATTTATCAGATTCAAAGAAATGTTATTAGCATATACCTGCATAACAGACACTTCAGTCATGAACTTCAGAAACATTGTCAATAATAGTGTATTTTTTATGTTGTCCTTGTTTTTTTTGGGGGGGGGTCAGGGGGATTAAATTTGAAGTATACAGATTGAGATGAAAGCATTAAATAATAAAATCTGCAGCCCATACTTAAGATACTATATTCTGAATAATAAATGCATTATTAAAAAAAATATATATATCCTCCATCAGTATATCCCCTGTTTAAAGTGAATGATAGAACAGCATGAAAAATGTGAAGAACTGATTATCATACATGTCTTTACTGAGGTTGATCACAGTAATAATGGACATGTATGTGACAATTATTAATTTGAAAATGTAATGACTAGCTGAAAGAGAGGATTGTGCATTTTTTAAATGGAAATATAGCCTGAGAATCCAGCAATCTGATAATAACTCTTTTCTGTATCTCAAAAGATCTCACAGAAGTAATAAATTCAAACATTTTAACAATATATTTTGTTATTTTGAGATATGTATATTTTCTCATTTATGTTTAAAAATACTTATATGAATTCTCTTTTGAAGATATCATTGATTGATAGAGTAAATAAGATATTTTTGGAAACGGAATGGAAAGACAGTGAAAAGCAGTCAGGATTTAGTGGAATGGGTTTTGTTATCCAAGAAGTGATGGTCCATACTGAGCCTACTCCTGTGACTCGTGGTGAAACTCATTACAACATGGCTGGAGCTTCTTGGAATGTTCGGGATTTGCTAGAAGTAAGTAGTAATTTAAAAAAAAGTTTATGCTTTTATGTGTTTTATGAAACTTTAAATTTTTGGTGGCTGAATTTGTAAATTTTGAAGGAATTATTAAAATATGCGTTAATTACATACATTTTATTTTTCACCAGAATTTTTATCATGGTTAAACTGTAAAATGTCACTATCTTTATTAGGTAAAGTACAGGGAAGAATATTGTCTGATTGTATATTATTTTCCATTTGCAAAATGCTACCTTGATTTTTCAGAAAGGTAGTTGATACAAAATAAATTTGAAACTTGATTTCTGGGATAAACCTTTTCTTGTTATCAATTGATTTAATGAATATGCTTTCTGTTTCTATGTAAAAGCAGCATTACATATTTACTTCTGTCATAATTCTAATTTTCTTCTGTGGCAATACAAATGCTGACACTCTCTTCAAAAATTCTTTCATGAAGTCATCCTAGACAGATCTTGAGTACTTTTCCAATATTAATTGACCAAACAAATATTAATAACTACTTTTTTCCCTTTTATGATTGAAATATTTATGCAGTTGATGTTCCCTTGGTGCTTCAAGCAGCATTTTAGCATAAACCATTTTGTAACATACAGTGAAAGAAAGATTTGACCCTTTAAATGAGGATATGTTTAGAGGCTAAAAGCTGTTCATGAGATTTCTTGTTTAGGCATCTCATTGAAACAATTCCTGAATGCTAAGAGCTAATATGTAAGCATTGTGCTGTCCTGAAGTTTGGTGAAATTTATCCAGATTTCTTTTTCCTCTGAGGCCAAGTAACTTGTTTTCAAACTGAGTTGTTTTGAATTTTCATACGTGAGGTAAATATAAAAACAATATTTTCTTAAAAAGCTGCTAAATTAATTTGGAGGAATTGTGTTTAGTACTTATATTGGCCTAAGTGCTTAGAAAATGGAAACATTAATAAGGATAAAATTACTATTGGATATAGGCTGTTACTATATGCAATATTAATTTGATAATATTAATGTTTGATAATATTAATTTGATCATATTCATGGAGTAAGCAGCATTGCATATAGGCTGTTTACTCCATGAACCATTGTGTAACTACAGCAATTGCTCCTACAGAATATCAATTCTATCTGCAATTAAGTAATTCCTTATAAAGTGCAGCGTAATTATGGACAATTACTTGTAGACTGTGCTTTCTATATGTATGGATCTTTCCTTATGGGTAAGGTATAATTTTTGTCTGCTGCATAAAGTAGTATACTTTGATTTATTGTTTGCATTATATAATTATCATGTTAATAATTATGTTATTATTTAATCATATCATTATGTTAATAACTTGCATCACAGTACAGCATTAGCATATTTAAGCTTTCCCAACTGAGAAGGCTCTGGAAGGTATTCTGCTCAAAATAAGATGAAATTTGGATAAGCATGTCCTTTTGTTGTTGCACTCATACTGTATTAAAAAGATTATGAAAATTCACAGACAGACAGTGCTGTAAATGTAATATTTTTAATTTTCATAAACTGAATAATTGACAGTAGATGCAAGTGACTTTTCAGATAGAAGGAGAGTGGTATACTGTGCTTGAATATTAGTTACGTATCTACATGTATGCTTACATTGCAGAGTAAAGCTCTGAACGTAAGTATACATGAAGCTGTGATTCCAAAAGTTAAAATGGGCTGTAGTGCTTAAAAGAAAATTTGCCATCGGATTTAAAATGAGAACCTGTGTCATCACATGCTTTATGCAGCATGTTGGAGCAATTTAAGAAAACTTGGTATCCTAACATTATCTACTAGAGGGGGGGGACAATGACTGCTTAAAGGAACAGTGGTGATTATGGCAATTATGGAAAAGACCACTTTGTAAGTATTGTAAGTCTGCGAGTTATTGCCTGTATCAAGAAAAACCATAATTCAGTGTGTGATAAAAATGTGGAAGTCGGAATGTTATCCGATATCAATTCTATTATAGAGGCTGTTTGCACATTTTCTAGATTTTGCTTTGCTGTTAAAAAAAAAAAGAAAAGAAAAAAAGAAAGAAAACAACCTTCTGCTTGGAACTTTTTTTAACTGCGCTATTTAAGTATAAATTATCGTCTCCTAATTGACAATTTTGTTTTCATGCAAACTCTCGCTTTTAAAGAAGCAATGGATTGAAGGCTATGTTTGTGCTCTTTCCGAAGAAAATTATTAGTATCAGGTTATTAAAAAATATTGTGAAAGCCGTGGTTTTGTGATATCTAAAGCTGTGATAGGTAATGTTGTCAGCAACAAAATAAACACACTTCAAAATTTACCTTCATATGGAAAAATTGTTCCAAATATATATCCAACAAAAAAACGAATGCTACAAAAACAAGATCTTTAATGTTAAAAGACAATCCACCGAATCAAAGGACAGTTGAAAAATCATTAAAGGGATAAGTGTCAGCTGTAAACAAAGTGATTAATGCTGATTTGAATCTTAAAAAAGGAAAAAAAGCATAATGTCATCATCTTTCTCCATGACACTTCACCCAATGCAGAATTCTCCATGAGAAACATTTATCCTGACAAAAATAGAAAAATGTCACAATAGATGAATCTTTATCACCAAAAAGGAGAAAAAATTCTTAAAACATGTTTCAAGGACTCTAAAGAAAGTTTTTCTAAGGAATTTCTGCTTGTTGCTGATTTTTCATATAACAGCAAATTAAAAATAAAAAGAATGGAGGAAAATGTTAAGATCACCTCGACATATTATCAAAAAAATATTTTATACCCATTTTTCAAATATGAAATTCTGATGTTTTGATGAAAATTTTGAAATATTCATTATGTTATGCAAAAAGGAAGTAGTGAATCTTATAAGCTTTGGGTTCTACAGTTATCTTATCTTTTAGAAATGAAATTTTAATTTTTATTGGTGTGTTTTGTTTGACTATAAGTGTTCTCCAAGTTCTATCCTCCGAATGGGGTTTTGCATTCTTTAGATCTTTGAAAAGACATAGGATTTTCTTAATAAAGGTTATTGAAACTTTGCAACTTTACTTATCTTGGAGGAAATAATTTTGTTTCCTTTGGGAATCTGATGGGACAAATTGGTGGCAAAATTATTTTCCTTTTTCATATAAGCGCAAAACGCTTATGTATTCTTTAACCAAACTGTGTGCAGTGTTTCTGTCAAAAATTCATCCTTATGGTAAGTTGTGAACATTCTATACTGAAGAAAAGGTGAACATTATTAAAAAGTATAAAATTGTTGCAACAAATCAATATCTGCCATAAATTCAGTTTATACAAATCTGTAAATGGCACAATATGAAAAATTAGACTATAATTTCTGCCGATGGTAAAAATTTGGATCAAGGAAAAAGTTGAGGTAAGCTGAGCAGCAGGATGCTAAAGAAGCCTTGCTAAGATGGGTTCATGATCTAAAAAAGCCATAATCTATTAGTACCTGGACAAATGCTTCAGACAAAGGCCAATCAATGAATTGGCTGAATGCTTTTGAGAGCCTGCCTTTTTAAGCTTAAATGTCTAGTTAGATAGTTTTAAGAAACAAAACATTTCTTCGGGGGAATTTGTTAAAGAATTATTCATCATGTCAAGATTAAATGTGGGAAAATAGGGAGGGTCAGCATTTAGACTGATATCCATGACTAGTGCCAAGAAAAAAGCATTTTCAGCTCTGATGAAGCTAGACTGTTCTACAAGATAATGCCAAACCAGACATTAAAATTTGAAATCTGAAGATGCACTTATAATTTTGAAAACAAGCTTCTCCTGAAATGATTTCTATCATTTCTCATCTAAAAGATTTTGACTGGAGATGCAGCATTTAACCTGAATGTAAGTTGCCTGCTTATATTTCCTGCGAGTGGATTTGTTTGAGGGCAGCCTATCTAAGTTATTTCTGAATATCCCTTGTGTAAAAGCCCACCAGCGGCTGAGTTTTAAAGTCACCGAACACTGATAGTTCAGTTCGAGGTTCGAATCATGCGAATGGGCTGGCTGCATGGGTGTTTGTATGGTTTTCCTCATGTGTAACATGTATATGGGTCAGTTTGCTTTAGAAAGTCAGTCTTCTACAAAAGGATCCCTCGTCTTAGGCAGATAGCTCTCAAGGCTTTGCTGTAATCAAATAAACCAAACCTCTGCATAAAATATAAGCTGGATCACTGCTTACATTTTCTGTAAGTGAATTTATTTCTTTGAAACGTTTACCTTCCTTAATTCAGTGACAGCAGTCATAAATTTAAACTTGTAGCAGAAATATAATTATGATATCTCAGATTTTTTTTACAATGATGTAAATGTAAAGAGACTATATATACAAAATATAACTTACTAGTATGGATTCACTCTTTTAAAATAATTCTACTTTAATTAAACTTAGGAGATAATATAATCAATTAATTGTTTAGGAAATAAATTATTATATATATATATATACGAGGGCCATCCAGGAAGTAGATTACGTTTCCGTCTGTGCGCCCCTAGCGGACACAGGTCAGAGCGTTGCGCAGCTCAGTCTGCATCTAGCCGTGCTGTGCTGCATCTAGCCGTGTGTGTGAGAGGTTCGTGCTGTGCTCCGTTCAGATACTGTGACGGTTTGAAATGTCTGCGTTAATTGAAAATCCCGCGAGCTGCGAGGTGCGCTCAGTAATAAGGTTTCTGACTGCAAAAAACTGTAAACCGATAGAAATCTATCGGCAGCTTCGTGAAGTGTATGGGGACAACATTATCACTGAAGGTGGAGTGCGTCAGTGGGTCATAAGATTTCAAAATGGCCGAACCAATGTTCACGACGAAGATCGAAGTGGGAGACCCAGCATAGTGACCGCCGAACTTCTCGAAAAAGTCGATGCTAAAGTCCGTGAAAATCGAAATTTCGCAATAACGGAACTTTCTTTGAGTTTTCCACAAATTTCGCGAAGTTTGTTGCACGAAATCATCAGCGAAAAGCTTGGTTACCACAAGTTTTGTGCAAGATGGAAGGCAAGAAAAGGTAACGAAGTGGTTGAAGGCGCAGGCGGCCGAATTTTTCGACGAAGGAATTTCCAAGCTCGTACATCGCTACGATAAATGCCTTAATTTGTATGGTGACTATGTAGAAAAGTAGTATTTGAGTGTGGCTTTCATCTGTATATAATAAAATTTGTTTCCTATACTTTGTTTATTTTTTTATTCCAAAACGTAATCTACTTTCTGGATAGCCCTCGTATATATATATATATACATACACGGAGAGAGAGAGATATATCTTCTATATTGAAGAAAGTATGTAAAAAGTTAAGAAAAGTCTCTTCAAGTAGACGCAACAAATCTCTGTGATATATGTAATTTTTAGTTGCTGTAGGTCATCTCTTTATTAATATATGTAAAATGTCATTTTTATCAAGAAGCTAACTTGTTGAATTTTTTTTTCTTTGAATAAAGTGGCCTGTTTTACTTTTAGGTTTTTCTCGAAATTTGAATCATCGTTGGTTTTGTCTTGCACACCTTTTCACAGATCAGAAATTTGATGGTGGAATACTAGGTCTCGCATACGTTGGCTCTCCTCGTAGAAATTCAGTTGGTGGCATATGCAGTCCAGGTAAATTTTACAAATTATTAACCATTTCAGAATTATTCATTATCATATATAATTTCAGAATTTTTTTAGTAAGTGCAGAAATCTTAAATACAGTGGTACCTCAGTATGCAGCATAAATTCATTCCAGATTTTTAAACATGTACCAGACTGGATGTATACCAAATGGATTTTTGTAATACGAAATAAAAAAAAATAATAAATGCATTTGTATAGAAAAGTCCCATTGTTATCATAACCCCTGAGTGAAATATATACTGTACATAAATGAAGCACTGCATGATACTATACATAAGTGTTTTTTTCCTATTCAGATCAAGATTAATTTTTTGATATGCTTTGTCTCTGATCTTTGTGTATCGATTTCACCCCTTTACAACATTAGGTGGTTTAATAGTATCTTTGTTTTTCATAATTATAGACACCATCATGTTCAACATGCAGCCAACTGTTATCAGAACATTCAGAAAACATTCAATGCATTTATTTCATGAACATGTTGGGAGCGTTCATATGAATCACTTCACTATGTTGCAGTTCTAAAATGGACTATAGCATGTCCAATACCGGTGTTAATGGAATTGTTGTGCAACGTGTAAAGAATGTTTCGGTAAAATGTTCTATCAGAATGTTTTAAATCACATCTATGAATTGCGGTTTTAAAACGGAGAACAGCACATGCAGTACCCGTGTTAATGGTACTCTCATGTAATGTGTAAAGAACATTTTATAAAAATGTCCATACAGCATTCTATTAGAACGTTTTAAATCACATCTATATATTGTAATTTTAAAACGGACAATAGCATGTCTGATATCTGTGTTAATGGCATTGTTATGTAACGTGTAAAGAATGTTGTATAAAGAACATCCATTCAACTTTCTACCAGAACGTTTTAAATCATGTCTATATGTTAGTTCTATAACATGCAAAAGCATGTGAAATACCTGTTTTACTGGCACTCTTGCATAATGTATAAAGAATGTTCTGTTATAAGTAGATCTTCATGAAAATGTTCTTGTCCTTTTATGCATTTATATATAATATTCGTAAATATCTTTCAAACTTTTTTTAACATAAATGCATTTTTAACACATAATAAAATAAATAATAAAATCTTTATTTTTAGATCATATGCAATATTTATTCTTATTTTAAAATAGCAGCATTGTGTTCAAACAAATAAAAATGCCTATTTTTAATATTCTGAAAGGTAATAAGAAAGCAAACTGAAAATGAGTAACTTTTTTTCACCCTTGTCTTTCATGTACTTGAGGAAAAAGGATGATTAGTATAATTAATTTCTAGAATTCAAATTTCCTATATGTCTTAAATACTAAGATCTATAAATTCTTTTTTCAGGAGCTTTTGTTTAATAGTCAATAAAAATATGTGATTAGTCTGTATTATGGTATATTACTTTCTACATTACTTTAAACAGAAAGCAGTTTTTTTAATAAAAAAATATCATAGTAGAAAACTAGCATATCCTAAAATGCAGAAAAGATATATATTTTATTTGACTACTAAATAAAAGGTACTGGAAAAGGACAATAGCGCAGAATATTTGGAGTGTTAGGAAGAGTTGCATCCTAACACTCCAAATTGCAAATTAATCATCATTCTCTCCAAGTAGATCAAGGAATGATAAAAATTCTTAAAACAACTTATATAAAAAATTTTAGGTGTCCTTGTCCTGATTTTTTTTTTTTTATTTTATTTATTTTTTTTTTTTTTTTTTAAGGGAGGGGACAGCATTTGGATGTCTAAGGATTTAACATTTGCACTTTCAGTTTTCTTTTTCCATTATATTATAAAATAGACACCCTTTATCTGCTACATCAAAATGCCATTTAAAACAATACTAATATTCCAGATGATAAATAGACCTGTTATGGGTTTATTTAATAAGTATGTTAAACAATTTGCATTCACGTTGAAAAATATTTCTGAGAAATATTTAAAAGAATTCATACATAAATATATAAAAATAAATAAACACATTTTTATGAAAATATGGAGTTCTACATGACATGCCTTATGTACATCTTTTATAATATATTTATATATTGCACAGAAATATTATCAATTTCAATATTTGATATGCTGTTTTAGGTTAATGAAATGTCACATGAAGATGTAATTAAAATGTTCTCTTAGAATATGCAGTGGCTCCCAAAAGTGTTCATACACTTATTATTTTCATTGAAATAGGGCTCTATCCATTAATTAAAAGTAAACTTTCTGAATGAGATTTTAATAATAAGATCTATAATCTATTCATAACAAAATTACATGAAATATTTTTAAAGGTGGTGTCTTTTTCCAGAGATAGGACATGAAACTTTTGATTTGCAGTTATTAACAGAATGATTTAATGCTAGGCAATTAAAGCACAATTCGTTACTTTTAATTATTTTAACTCAATCATTCACCGATTGTTTCATGTAATTCGGGCATTCTGCCAAAAAATGATTTTCCTCACAAAGAACACACTTTAAGCCTTTCACATCAGCAAATAATACCTTTGAAAGATTCTTTGACGTTTTATAATTGTTGTGAGATTTTTTAAAACTGTTTACACTTTCGGTAAGGGATTTTCCGCTAGATGTGAAAAATAAATCTGCTTTTTTTGCCATTTGTTGAGACAGAAACCAACTTTCACTTTGTCTTACAGAAATATGGGCTGACGTTTCTCAATATTAATGCCTGATGTTAACTGCTTCAAAGTTTCGAAACCAGACACTTTCTTCAATTTTAAGTAATATTCAAAATTTGTCGTTAATCGTGACACAAACTGCACATGGGGCTCATTTCATTGAGCCTTTTTATAATTCTTTAAAGTAATTTGTAGTGTAGGTTCGAATTATTTTAGAACAATAGCTTTTACTTTTATAACCTCATCTCTATTATACACGATAATGTTCGAAGCCTGTTCCCCTAACAAGTTTAACAATATTTCTGCTTTATATTTCTCAGGCACATTTTTTGTCGTGAAAGCTCTTAGGAAAAAATAACTCCAGTTTTCAGGTTTACTTGGAATATTCAATGTCAGTGTTCTTAGCTCTTAATAAGGGAATATAAGGAATCGTAACTTTCTCCTTTTGTTTTGTTCATTATTATCAATTTTGCTTTCTGCTCGTAACTGAGCAATTTCCAGTTCTGTTTTACGTCTGTCCAATTTAATTTGTTCTAACTGTAATACTTTAGCTTCTTCAGATTTACGATGCTGTACTCTGGAATTACCCAACTCTATGACCGAAGCTGGATCGGATTTAGAAGCTTCACTACTTTTAATCACTAGATTTAAATCTGCACCAGTTATCTTTTCACTTAATTCTATATTTTGTTCTAAAGCTAGTAGCTTTAAAACTTCCTTGAGTGCACCTTTTATCAACATTATACTCTTAATAAAATAACTCAAGATAATAAATTGTTCTCAAAATAGTCTTATTACATAAATACTATAAATATTTTCTCAAAATTGTCAACCAGTATCTCTACAATAAAATAGCAGTTTATTTTTAAATTGAAACTGCTGACTTAATCGTTACTTGTAATTAACTCACAATCCATAGGTCTCTGGCCTAGGACGCACCACGAATGATATACACATACACTTACACTATAATAAACTCGGGAATAGTAGACTGTAGTAATATGACACTTTATTCTCATTAATTTACACTGTTCATGGACACTCGAAGCAACAGATTCTCTCAGAGGCTCTTAGTTAACATTCTCACATAACAAAAACTCCAAGAGCTCAAGGTCCCTCAGGGGGCTCACTTTTGTGAGTACGGGTGTGGCAATCCCGAGGTACCCTAGCCCTTCAGGGGATCATCTTCTTGATGAGACGGGTGTCACGATCCTGGAGCCCCAGTGATCTATCCTCTTTTCCGTCTCCTCTCCTCTTGGCTGGAACTTTTCCCTTTCCTTCTCCCTTGTGGTTTCTCTCTACGGAGTTTGGGGCTCGTCACGAGAAGCTGGAACAGACCTCGTTTCTAGTTTTCGAGTGGCGAGAAAACTGCCCACGTGTTTGCCATGCGTGGAGACCCTGTCGCTGGAAAGGAGAGTCCTGGTAGTTGAGGGGCGAGGTACTGTCCCCAACACACTGCTTTGGCCTCTGCTTCAGCTAAACGGGAGGCACCTTAGTCGTCCTCACGGGTGTCAATCGGCTGGTCACTAGTCCTTGTGTCAGTGGCTTGGGGTCAAGCTCTCGGGAGTACCTGCTTTCGGGAAAGCCGACTGTGGGGCTTCAGTTTGCGTATAGGTCCGGCTAGCCCTAACACAGGAATCTGTGTTCCCTTGTTGGGCTCCGTGGTGGGCGGGGCCGTCGGACCCGAATCTTTTCTTTCTTAAATATGGCTTCTATGTTTCTTCTCAAATCAAATGAAACGACCAAAGTATTGAAATAATTGATAAATCTCTTACTAAGAAATACGTACCGACCTGCAAATGCCAAAGTAATCACTGATAATCCACGTTTCCTTGTAGTCTCTAGTCCCTCTGGTGAAACTGCAAAAGATGTCCCTTTCGTTGTAAAGCAAATATATCAGTTCTTGCATGGTGAGCCAAAGAACATAAAGCGTCTCCGTTCTGGAGACCTGCTTATGATACTGTCTCAGCCACCCAGTCTGCTTCTTTACTGTCACAACCAAACTTGGAATGTAGCTCTAACTGTGTCAGCGCATAAAACTCTGAATTATTGTAGAGGTGTGATCTCGGAAATCGACCTTCTCTGTGTTTCAGAAGAAGAGTTCGTTTCCGAGTTAGCTGACCAAAAAGTCTGTGGTGCTAGGCGGATCAAATGCGTAAGGAAGGTCAGTTGACTGACACTAAACACGTGATCCTGACCTTCAAATCGCCTGATCTGCCTAAGAATATTAAGGCCGGATATCTAAATATTCCATATATTCCAAACCCAGTGCGATGCTTCCAATGCCAGCGGTTTGGCCATTCTAAGATGTCCTGTCGTGGGACCCTGACATGCGCTCGATGC